GGGGGGCAAGCTGAGCATCTCCGGCAGAGCCACACGGCAGGAGCAAGCCCCAAGAGCACCCACGGAGCCACAGAAGCGAGCCCCGAGGGCACCCACCGCCCCAGGAGCCCAGCAAGGCTCAGCAGAGGGGCGATGGGGAGCCAACAGCCCTACAGAGGAAACAAAAGGGACGCGTCTCGGGGCAGACTTAGCTCCTTCCGCAAGCTGTTTTGCTGGCAAACTGGGAAATGCCAATGCCAGCACGGGCGAGGGATGCTCCCCGACGCCGGTACAGAGCCTGGGAGGGCGTAGAGGATGCGGAGGATGGCAGGAGAGAGCATCACTCCCCAAGCCGTTATTTCACACCCTAGCCTTAGGATGCCAATTTATAGCAAACCACCATTTTCCACCAGCGACAAAAAGCCATTTCATTGAGGAATTTCTGCCCAGCTCTGCTGCCGAGCCTTCGGTTTCTCTCTGGGGGCCCGGTGCTCTCCCCACAGTACACGAAAGCACCTTTCGTGGCAGCGAGACGCGAAGGATTTTCTTGGAAGCCGGAGAGGAGTGAGTTTGTTGGAGGCACGAGATAAAAGTTGAAACATCAAAAGCAATCCAAGTGTTTGCGGGAAGAGAGCCGGGTGGATTAATTCCCCTCCAGCTGGGGAAGGAGATCAGCCTCCAGATACCCACCATCCCTAATTACCAACCCCTTGAGTGCCTCAGTCTCCCCATGTGAGGTCTGGAGAAGGGGAATACATCTGCCTCTCGGGAAGGCTGCTGCGAGTTGCCATTTATGTATTTATTCGGCTATTTATTTTTTTGTTTCTGCCCCCATGCTGCTTTCCTTGCTCCTAGATCCCGGAGCCTGCGAGCCCCCTGCGGATGGCTGAAAGCAAATCTGAATATTCAAATTGTTATCAGCTGCCCAGCAGAAGGGGCTGGCTCAGCCCGGCTCACAGCTAGTACCCCCCCTCCCCGCTCCGCAGGAAGCCACAGGGAGCTGCTTACACTTTCCTCACCCCTTCCTACCTGCTCCCGCCACCCAGAGCAAACGACAGATCTGAAACGTGTTCGTGAAGAAGAAAAACAAGCGCTGTCTCCCCAGGCTCGCAAAGGTCCTGGCGTGCGGTGGTGGGCTCACGGCCGAGCGTCATCTCTTCGCGGTGCCGAAGGATGGGCACGGGATGCACGGGTGTGCTATCGGTGCGTGACATGCTTTACCGGCTCGTTTCCCCCCTCCAACCCCTTTCCCACTGGCTCCTGTACCACTCGAGGTTTTTCGCATCACTGCAAACAAACCGGCTCCTTTGCCTTCCTTTAGAGGCATAAATTAACAAGCAGCCTGCCAAAGCTTAGCAACCCTACAATAATAAACCCGTCCGCACGCACCCTCCATCCGAAACAAATTGAGCCATAAAGAAATGGGCTTCGGAGGGAAGTTCACTCTCGCACAAAGCCGGGACACGGCCGCATGTTTCCCAGCTCGTCTCATCCCGTGCCAGCGCACAGGGCCAGCGCTCGCCGTGGCTCGAGGCTGCTGCCTGCTGCCTCCTTGCCGGCAATCAAACCTCCTCCCAGCCGTAACCAGCGCCGCAACTGATGGAAATTTCATGTCAATTCAGCTAAAAGACAATCGTAGCTGCAGTTGGGCATAATCATTACTTCGTTCTTCATGTGCGTATTCCTCGGAGCATGTAATAGCAGCCGTATCGTGTCCCTGCTGCCACAATGCCAGCATCAACCTCATGCCGATATCTGGCTTCCAAAAAAGCAACCGCTGACTGACCTACCTCAGATGCGTCGTATTTAACCAGTTTGTGATGGACCGGTTTGCAAGCCCCACGTGCGCAACCCCCATCTTCAGATTTAAGGGGGCTGGAGCAGAGGGGAGCCCGTCCCTGGGCACAGCTAGCACAGTGCGGACCGGCAGGCAAGGGCAGAAGCTCAGGCGTGAGGCTGTGAGATGCCAGGAGGTGGGTACATGTGTCCCTCCAGAAGTCCCAGACACCGTGTGGGACCTGCTCACGCACCCGCTATGAATCATGGCCAAAATTTTGCTCTCCCAACCTGTAAGATGCAGTCAGAGGGCATGGTTCACCATGAATCAGGGAACCCCCTTCTCACATGGGGAGGCCAGGAACAGCCACATCAGCTGTTCCAGCTTTGACTGAGGATGGATCATAACCTTCACCCTTGCTTTTTCACCCAACATCACCCACTGGCTTCATCCATCGCTCCCGCCCAGCCCCTTCCTCATGGGAGCGCACCTGGAAAAGCTTCGGAAATTACTCAGCCTTCCACCAGTCAAAGCAAGTATTTAGCATCACTTACCAATGGCTACACAAAAACTCAAACTTTAAAAAAAAATAACCCCAAACCCCAGAGAAGGAACCAACACTTCCTCAAGGACACCACTCGCTGAAATCACTGAGGTGCCTAGGTGGCCTGGAATCATTTTCAGCACAAAGGGAGCTGGATTTGGGAAAAGCAGCCTGGGATCCTCAGTGTTCTTCTCTTCACGCTGACTGGGGACAGAGCTCCTGTCGGTTCCCCCTACCCGAGCTCAGGCGGGGCTCGCTTTTCCAAAACGGAGCGCCCTGCCTTTCTGAAGCACAAAATCCAGCGCAACTCCAGCTTTCCTCCCAGGCACTTTCTAGGCATGGGCTATTACCTACAAAAAGCCGAGGAGCGTTTAATATCCCTCATTCTGGCGAGCTTGCAAAGAAAGGAAAGTGCTAAGAGTTCAGGAGGGGTGGAGGAGGAAGGGGGAAAAAAAAAAGTGGTTTTTTTTTTTTAAAAAAAGCAATTAGTGCCTCTTTGTACAGCTTGGCTACCTTATGCCTGGTTCTAGCTAGTCAGAGACAAATAATGCTTAATCCTGCCTTTGAAAACACAAGGCATAAAGAGGGTTATTCTCTCCACCCACTTCAAGACATTTAACTCCAGTGCTCTGAATAGCCCCTCCGGAGTTGCCCACCTCTCTCCTGCTGCCCAGCCTTTACCGTCAGGCTCCCAGCACCCATTGCTTGCTCCCAGCACCCATTGCTCACCCAGCACCCAAGCACGACACCATCGGTGACCCATTCGAAGGCTCACTGGCCATGGGCGCTCGTCCCCTGCATCCCTAAGGACCTCGCTGGGGTCGCAGGTGATGCGGGATGCCTGGAGCAAAATGCTCCACAGCCTTTCGGATCCTCCTCCCCACGGCAACAGCCCTTTTCTCCCCTCTTTCTGTCCGTCCTAAGCAGCAATCCTTGCCCGCTCCCCGGGGAGTTTTCTCCTTCCCTGCTCTCCCCAGGTTATCTGCTGAATTCCACACACGCCTGCACAGACGGGATCAATCCGAGGCTGCCTCGCCTTCAGCTTATCTCTGCTCCAAATGATTGATTTTCCCTCTTTAAGGGTAATTTGCTGGTGAATTCCATGTATTGCAAAAACCCCTGTGAAATCTAATTCAGCCCGACTGGCAGCTGGCACTTTTGGGAGAGAATACTCAAGCGCCGTCAATTCCCCTTTACAGTTCCTTGCCGTGTAGATCATATTTATAGTGCGCGTGCCTGTCATATGCATATATATGCTACGGATGATTCATATATTGCACCTGCACACGCATGGGCACATGCGATATCCCAGTGCAAGTCTCTGATGCAGCTTTATGCGACAAAATTCCATGGCCTGGATTTTCTTTTTTTTTTTTTTTTTTTTTTGTTTAAAATTCACCATTTATCTTCCTCAATATGCTTATTTTGGAGAATTGTTTCAAAATGATTTTAAAATGTCAGCCCATCATACTTGTGCTTTATACAGCCTCTGCCCTTTTCTTCCTCTTCAGTCAACCGCGTCAAGGAAAATCAAGCGAAAGCCGCGGCAGAAGAGCTGGTTTCTCTGGCGTGCCCTGGGAAAGTACGCTCTCGCTTCTCTTAATGTACCTTTGTGGATCTTGCAGGGATAGGAAACTCAAACAGGGGATGCCCTGAAGGATGCTCTGCTCCTTTTCCTGCATGGCCAAACCCTTGCCTTCTCCCTAAAAAAACCTGAGTCATTCAAAGCTTTAATTTTCCGTCTCACACGCAAGATTTATTCGTCCCTGCTGATCTATCGCAACATTAGCGAGAGGAGAATCCAGCCCCAGCCCGGGAGTGCGTATGGATATACATACCAGTCTTTTGTGGTGTCCGGTTGGGTATAGGCTCAGCCTAAATACTGAGAAACTTTCACAGATTTTCAGAACCAGCTCTCAAACGGCTTTGGAAAAGTATTCAAGTGGTTTGCTGCCTCTCTGGCAGAGAGAGAAGCTCAGCCGCACAGAGGATAACACTTTTTTTCTTGGTTCAAAGGAGGCCAGGTCCAAAACCCCGTGCAAACCCTGTGCACCAATTTCCCTCGTGTTCAAGTGTTTTCAATAAGCCATAGATAATACAAAAAGAAAAACCAGCTCACCCGGCTGAACCCCTCTTGGCTGCACTCCAAATCCACATCTGGGGTCATCTCAGCTCAACCCGAGTGCATCCTCTTGAGACGCTGCCCGTCCCACCTCGCGCCCCCAGCCAGCTCTCCTTGGAGCCAGACCATGACCGCGTTTGAGGGACGGCAGCTGGGAGTTTGCGAGGGACAGACTCAGAGGAACGGGTTTCTCTTTGGAGGCACCCCGCTTAGATACCTCGTCCGAGACGTTAATGCCAGCCTAGCTCCAGAAAGGCACTTAAACACAGAGGTAAATTCAAGCGCGTGCTTTCAAGCGCGGTCTTGTGTGCAACGCAAATACATTTTTAAGTGCTTTGCTGAATCGTTTAATCTAACTCCTTCAAAAAGCAATCATTTAAGTTTGTGCAAAACACACCAGAAGAAAGACAGACCCAAAACCCACCATTTAAAAAGGCTGCGTGGGCCCGGTTACAAAACACCTTCTTGTTTAACGGCCTTGGCAGCCCACGCGGTGTGTTTTAAAGGCCAGGCCCACGCGACACCCCATTCCCCAGCTCTACAGAGACACAACCGGGGTGCGATGGCAGGTGGGTTCCCCACAACCACCCCACCCCATGAGACCCCTGCGTGGGGCAGGGTTCAGGCATAGGTTGCTCCATCCAAGTAGGACCTCAACAAGTGGGAGGGCTTGAAGGAAAGGCGTCAAAACTTGCTGGAGGTGCCAGAAGCAGGCTGGATGGCTTGGCTCAAGAAAGAAACCAACCTCCCAAGGGGGTCTACCAGGACTTAATGACATAGATTGGGAGGCAGGAGACAAAACTCAAGGAAAACGATCTTCCTGAAGACTCTAGCTTTGATTTCATGTGTCTCTATCCGTGTGCTCTCATTTATTTATTTATCTGCTCTCCCTGGAGACATGTATAATTCTCTTCTTGTTTTCCTTTGCCCCTTACATAAATGAATCATGTCATCTCCAGCATGAAGGCCGCGTTGGCAAAATAGCTTCTGTCAGCTGTGTCCTCAGTCACGTCCCTGCCTGAAGACCTCGGACCTCACCATCCCATCCCTCCACCCCTGCACCCACGGAGAGCCGAGAGGGCCTGGCGCCTCCTCGACCATCTCAAATCCAGATGGATTGCAAAAGCCTCGCAACTCTCATGAGGTACTTGAGCATCCAAAATATCACCGTCAGGCGACTATCTTTTTCACAACCTGGATATCCTCTCCCTATTTTTTTCCCCCAAAGCGCTACCTCGATGGTTAATCCAGTTGCAAGCATTAACGAGGGGAAATAAGACAGATCCACCGCAGGATAACGGAAAAAACCCCACCAACCAAGCCAATTGCTTATAACTTTCCTCCCTCCAGATAGTCCAAGACATCAGCTCTCCTGTGCTTCTTATCAGTGAAAATAATGCTACGGTCAAAGCAATCTGTGCTAATATGATGGTCTCCAAAGACGCGTACAGTAAAACTCCTTCAGACTCCCTCAGCGCAAGAGGTCCTCTCTCAGCAGTTTTAAAAAATCTCAGCCAATTCTTTTGGGGAACTCTCAGGAAGTTAAAGAAATACACCAACAGAATGAGTCTATTTTTTGCTGGTGCGATCGGGAAGGCAAGGCTATTTTTTATTCTCCCATTTTAAAATTAGCAAGGCTGAAAAGTGAATTCTTGAATGGGAATCACTCCAGTAAAATGAGCTTTTAACCAGAAATAATGACAGATCCTTCATCCTTCTGGCACAAACAGAAGTGTTACAATGCCCTTCAAGAACGGATCTGCTGACATCTCTCAGAAAGCACGACAGCGGCTCTATTCAGAAACTATCCTAAGCATCTGTCATATCTATATCTTCTTTATTAGCAATTGACATTTTCAAGAAAAAACAGTCTCTTTATCTGCTTAATAGCTCATCTGCACCTCTTCAGGCTGAACTCATAACTCTCGGATGGTGACATCATGTCACAGGTAGATTATGAGTTCTGTGTCATAATCACTTCACATGAAAAAAAAAAAAGGGGGATTTCTGGGTGGCTTTACGAGACACGGTGAACTCCACCTAGGGCTGGGGAAAAGCAAAGCCATCATTTCAGCCAACAAAGGCATCTTAGAAGATGCACATTTTAATAGACCCACCAGGATTTTGGGAGGGAGATGTTCCCTTTTGTATTCCTCGGTGCTATCACGTCGTTTACCCGAAGCACGGGAAACCATTCTGACAATGCCATTTATTCTGACAAACCCTCTCCCCTCATCTCTCGCTCGGCAGGAAAAGGAATAGGGAAGGCTCCGGCTACATGCTCCTGCCATTCTGAAGGATTTTGGAAAGTTCACCATGAGGTGTCAGCACTTGTTTGAAGCAGACACCACGCAGCGTGGCGGGGTTGAAGGGTGCCGGCACACAGAAGCAGCCAGACGTGAACCGCACAAGTCAAATAATCAGAGTAATTGAAGGCTGCAAGCCCAAGGCTGGAAAACATGCTGCAATCCCTACGTGGCACGGACCGGCGCGTAACAAATAGGAACTCCATTAACACGAAGGAGGAACAAGTCACCAACGCTCCCGGCTGGTTTGCAGCGATGAACTGGTATCCCAGTTCCCACACCCCCCC